ATGTTGATTTTACCTTCTCTCATCTAATTCATCTTTACCACCCCAAGCTGTTCCGCAATGGTGTTTTTACCCTAACTGCAAGAAGTAAAAGGGTTTTGGTAAGCCCTGAAGATGATAAAGATCGAGGCTGGTACACCCGTTACGTTGCGGTACCCACGGTTGGTTTGGTGGGTGAATCAAATATTCCTTTTCCAGAGAAATGGAACCTTGCACGTAAGTATTTCTTCCTTACCGTATCTGTTTCTTTTTTTTATTTCAACTCCTTTTCTAATTTCATTCTTTTTTGCTTTTTTGTAGCAACCATGGGAGATGTGGAACCCGTTCCTAATTTCCGTGGTTGGGTAGATGCTATTTTGAAGGTCGTGCCTATGGAGGCACGAACCTGGAAATCTATTTCCAACAAACATGGTTGGAAAGTAAAAACTCACGGTATGCGTCCCTTATTATTTTCCGTATGTTAAATTCTTTCCCCTCTTTTAACTTTTTATCCTTCTTTTTGTCAGGATTTGCTGTTCGAGGAATGTCAGCTGAAGTAGCTATTGCCCTTCGAGCCTCTTTTGGTACTCCTCTTTCTTTGGAGAGAGCACAAGCTACGCTGTCAAAGAGGAAAGTTGTTGAAGAGGATTCTGAGGATGATGAAGATGAAGACACCTCTTTGATAGTTAGACCTAGAACCAGGAGACGCATCATTTCCGAAGATGAAGCTGAAATTTCTCCTGCCCGTGCCTCCTCTCCTGTTAATATTGTTTCCGATGATGAAACCATTCCAACGGACACCATTGAATCCACTCAACGTCTCTTCGTTGACGGTTTCGAAAGTGGTGAACTAGATTCGGTTTTAGATGAAGTTCCTCTTTCCTCCTCCATTCCTATTCCTTCTATTCCTCCTTTGGTTTCAAGTGCTTTTTTGCCCATTTTATCTGTTCCTGCTTCTTTGCCAATTTCTGCTCCCTTACCTGCTTCGACTCCTTCGACTCCTGTTATTTTCACCTCTTCTACCGTTCCTCCTTCTATAGCTCCCCCTTCCTTTGTTCAGCATGCAGAGGAGGGTTCCAGTAGCAGAAGTTTGGCTATGAAGAGTGTAACACTTGAGGTTCCTGCTAATAACGGTCTTTTAAGGAAGTCTGGTGGAGCAGATGTCTGGCTTGAGCCTTTAATTGGAGATATTGAGAAGAAGAAGATGGATAGTCACAGTTGCTTAACTTTGATGAATGACATAGTTCATTCTACGTTGAAGGTATTCTTCCTTTGCTTTCTAATAAGTTTTTTTTATCTCTAGATGCTTATTTTCATGAGTTGTCTTTGTAGGCCAACCTTATTGGCACGGAATTGATGGGAAGAATTTTCCTTTTAGAAAAGAAGGCCCGTGAGTCTGATAAGACTATTCTCGAGGCTGAAAGGGTAGCTAAGGAAGCCTAACTGGAAGCAACTAATTGGAAGGAACAGTCTAAAAATGCTCAAGAAACGATAAAAGAATTGCAAGAAAGCAACCGTAACCTGGAGCAGCAAAAGCGGACTCTGACTTCTGAATTAGCGGGAGCCAAGGCTTCTTTTAGTAAAGCTGAGAAGGATAAGGAGCGCCTTCGGTATCATTTTGTCTTCAGCTTGCATTTCACGTAATACCCTTAGTAGTATAATATTTACGGAACTTCCTGGATCAATCAAAACTCGTTTTACATTAGTGTCGTGTATAAGTAAAGATATTACCAGTGCGTCGTTGTGGGGGGTCATCGCTCCTTCAGTATCTGCATCATCGAAAGAAATATTTTCGTTTTCTAAAACCTGCCGTACCCGTTTCCCATGTGTAATCGTTACTTTAGAAACCTTGTTGGAAGCCGTATATGTTACACCATAAATATCTTCTCCCCCACTTATAACATTCACGGTTCTCTTGGGTGATGGGGGCTTTGGTGGCTCTTGCCTATTTTTCATATAGGCTTGCTTACCTTTCTCACTAAATAACTCAGTGAGATACCCTTGTTTCAATAGATGGTCCA